GGAGGAGGGGACGGGTATTTGTATACACAAGGAGTGCAATGCGCACTACCCGAAGGATGGACATATTTGAAACACGGACTTCGGTGGGGGAGGGGGAACCAAGGGCAACACACGTAACCTAAACATATGTACACCCATAATTTGCTGAAATAAAAAAAAAAATAAATCCCAGAATTCAAGCATTACTTTGTCTGGCTCCCAAATTCATGCTTTTCCTTTTATACCTATCAGCAGATTTAGCAAACATTTGTCAATCGATCTCTTGATTTAGAGAAATTAGCCAAAGTATTTTAAAATTGCCACATCTCAATTTCCAAGGGTGAAATCCCCACCATCCCTGAAATTCACATAAAGTCCTATGGATGTGATTTTGTTGATTTCAGGCAGGTTTTTCCGTTCAGGACAGTGGCATTCCCAATTTAGGATCCACCAGCCTAGTGTGGTGGAGGTGTAGCCCATCTCTATCGTCATGAGCCTTCTTTATTACTTGGTTTTTGAGCTCTTTCTGTTAGCTCTGGCTGTAGGATCTTCTGGCTCTGAAGGGCTCTTTCCCATGCACCCCCCAAGATTTGTAAGGTAACAGTACCATAAAAAGAGTTTCATATTTCATCTGAGAAGTCTAGGGAAGTAGGGGACATTCAGGGAAGGATGTTTTTCTAGGATCATCCTGGGAAAGAATAGTTGGGTTCACATTATTTTAAAAAGTAACAGCAGATGATGGTTCAATCATTTTATTGTAGTAACTTGCAACCAGTCTGTTATATATAAATATGCTCAGGTTTTTTCCTCCTTTTTATGCTCATTTGCCCTCTCCCTACCTTTTCTTTACATTACAATGGTTGTCTAGCAGAGGTCTGTTTTTCATATCAAAGGAAAGGAATACCAAAAGAATATACTAACATTTCCTGTCCACTGACTCTAAACCAGGCCCTATACTATGTACTTTACATGTATAAATTAGTTTAATCTCACCCCAAGCCAATAAATTAAATGTTATTATCACTATTTCAAAGAAGAATAAAAACCAAGCGACACTGAGATTAAGTTATTTTCACAAAATCACATTCCATAAGGGAAACAAACAGGATTATACTGGATTTACTCCAAAAGTAATAGCAACAGACATCTATGGAGAACTTGTAAGTGTCTATTCTAAAATCTTTACAGATACTAACTAATTTAATCCTTTCATAATTTCCTGAGATTGATATTATTACTCTGTTTACAAGGAAAAAATTCAGGGTTTCAAAGGTTAAGCAATTTGCCTGCAGTCTCCTAGATGGTACTTAGCAGAACTTGGATTTAAATGTGGGTCTCCTGGTGCCAGACCCTACACGCTTCCCCCTTCACCACTCCACTCCCAGGCTTCTCTGCACCATGTTGAATGGCTCTTTATCTGAGGCTCTGGTAGGGGATTATGAAAGGAAAATATTGACAGACACTCTCAGGAAAGTAGAAACTCACTCCAAGAAGGCATGCCCAAATCAATTGACCAGTCTGGGAAAGAGAGAGAGTCGGTGAGTAGACTTTCAATTTTCTTGCACCAAACCATTGTGATCCTTTAAAGAATCCCAAATGGGATGATTGCCCTGAAACCTAAAATTGGTCATTTTCTCCATCTTTGCTGTAGCTGGAGTTTAAAGTTTTACCAGATGATATTCTCTGACAAAAAAAATGTTCCTCATACTTTCAACACTGTGTAAATATTATACAAAAATAAATGTAGCAAGCTTGAGAAAAATATTAAAGCCAGATATATTTACTACCTACCTAGTCCCTCTCCAAAAACATATATAGAATTATAAGGCATATAGGAACTAGTTAAATCAAATTTAAATTTAGGATTTGTAGTCTATGAAGGGGAAAGGAAAATGTCACTCCAAAATATGCCACTTTAGCATAAGGATTATTTTGAGCTGAAGGCAGCTGAGAAATAGCAAACACAGGAGAAGCTTTCCACCTTCCCTTTTTTGCCTAAAGGCAGGATATAAATGTGTAAATTTCTCTTTGTAAAGATATTCCCTCTCTGCTCAGGAGGAGGAAAACAACCATAATCACCCAATGGAAAGTTAATACTGAGTTGGGTCTGCATAACAAATCTTCCTAAAGAAATCTTATCTCCCATTAGTTTTTCCCATATGTTTTCCTTTCCAA